TAGATAATCCGCACATCGTGAGAATTTACGGTGTGCGTAACTACATGATGGTAATGGAGTATGTGCAGTATGGTTCATTGAATACATATCTGAGTGGTCTTACAGACATCAAGATTGAGGAGTTATTCCTCACAGCCATTCAAGTTGCTGAAGCATTGGAGTACCTGGTGAGACTTTTGAAATCAATACCATCAAATTAAAATTAATGATTAAGGTAGAATTTTGGTTCTGAAATCCAAAATTTTTTCTGTCTCAATTTTTGAAATCCTGTAAATACCTTTGACCCATTGTCCTTCAACGATTTGTTTGTTAACTTTTGTACACTTTTACAAAATAGAACCCACATAATTTATCAAATTTAAAAAAAATTATGCTTCATGAGTCATCGTAATAATGAATGCATATAATAGACATGTTTTGTAATATTGTAAGCTTAGCCGATTATACGATGTACTATTTCATAAGTAAGAAAGAGAAAGAAAGAAATTCACTACGTTCAATTACCCACCATAGACTCCGGTCAGTCAAAATGACTTTTTGCCAATGACGGAGAGATAGAATCTAGGTCAGGGGAAGCCCCATGACCCCAAGATTCTTTTTCCTTACATCACGAACCACGTGAGGTCATATGGTGGCGCCATTGTGGCTGGCTATTTACTCTATCTTTATCTCCGCATCGACAGGGATGAAGTTTTAGCGGCTCTGCCTGCCGAGCCTGCTTTTTCCTGTCCGGGTTTTTGGCTTGGGTTGTTACTGTGTCATGGTAACCAACATTGTAGCTGATAGGATAAGTTTTCCTTGTCATTTTACCCTCGTGTCGATTTCCCCTTTGTGTGTAGCATTTTTCACAACAAAGTAACGAAACCCAGGGACATAACTTAATCACTTGTTGGTTTGGTTGCATCATCTTTTCCAACTGTATTTCGCTTCCCTCATGCATGTCGTGTTCATTTTATGCTTTATCAATGTATTTAGAAATGGATAAATGTTTTTCGAAGCGACTGTGCAGTGATTATAATCAGAATTTACCAGCATAGAACCCGCATCGAATGCTATTTTTGCTGTGGCTGCATGCAGGGTTCGAGGTTTTTGCCTTGAAGGCGTGTGTTTTTCACTGGAGTTCTGAGGCCTGGGATGTTTTTTTCAGAGCCATGCAAAATCGCTGAGACTGACCGCGTCGCTTGTATTTTCACAGCAAGGTCGCCGTCCAGTAAAAATAGGTTAAAGTGACTTCCGTGTTTGGCATGAGTGGAAAGTCTTCACGCTCGGCTACAGGTACTTTGTGTACTGGGATGTCGAGTAGGAGGCCCGATGGTGGAAGTATCGATATTTCTCGGTCTCCCTTGCTGATCGGAGGGCATCCTCACAGTCTGTGTTTTCAGGCGGTGGTTGACCCGATTTCACTGGCTACCGGCCTTTGTGGATTCGTCCTTGCACGGCACCGGATTTGCCTCCGAGATGAGGGCTTTAGTCGAAGGACTGTCGGGGCAAATTGCGTCCCTGGCAGGCCGTGTGGATCAGATGCAGTCGGAGCAAGCTGTCTCCACTGCAGCCCCTCGGTCGGCAAGCAGGAAGAAACACAAAAGCATCGCTCGCATTCAAAGCATGTCTCTTCCGGGGAATCCCCCATTCCCTGCTGCGACTCTCTCACTGATTTGGGTGAGGCCAAGGCTCAGGCTAGTTGCACCGGGTCTCTTCTGGGACCTCGGGCACTGAATGCCAACAGTGATGCTGGTAGCCAAGCCTCTGATTTCGGGGTAGGGCTTTTAGCCATTCAGGGTTCGTCGCGCGGTACATGTACAAGGATTTTACCCTTGAGTCCGGGCTCCCCCTGTCCGGCCGAGTGTTGAGTGGGGTGCAGGGCGCACAGATGGTGTTGATGGGTGGACGTTGGTCAGCTGCGGAGGAGGTAATGCTTTGGGCCCCCGCTGGACCAAACGCTACCCGCTAGCGTCAGGTGCCCCCCTTGAACATTTTCTGAGGGCAGGCTTCTGGAGAACGCAAACGTCTTTATCAACTACTACCTAAAAACACCCAATCCATTGAGGAGGGCCTCTTTTAGACTGGGTCCCGTCGTAGTAGGTCAGACTCTGGTTGCTGACCCAGCCCGAACGACCACAAGGGTCCCTGCGCATAGGCGATAAGTCGGTCTCAGCATTTTTGCGGACAGATTTCTCTACCATCAGCACTCCTTGGAAGTTTCCAGGTCTCATGCAGAACTGTTTTGGTCTTTACTTCGAAACCATACTATCCCCTACATTTGGTTTTGGGTCTAGCTTTCTCGGGCACACCGAACCCTGTCACTGTAGCAGCATTTTTGGCTTTTTGCTTCGGGGACAGTACAGACGAGGTAAGAAACCACCCTCTTTTGGGGTCTTAGCTAGGTGATGAGTGGTGGTGTATCGTCCCGGACTGGGAAAAGACTTTCATCATTGTCTGTTTGCTCGGAAAACCCGCCACCTATCGGGGTCTGACTCTGCCTACAGTTCGAAATAGCCAGCCGTAATGGCGCTGCCATATGGCCTCGGTCTCGTGGTTCGTGACGTAAGGGAAAAGAATCTTGGGGTCATGGGGTTTTCCCTGACCTAGATTCTGTCTTTCCATCATTGGCAGTATCGCTGATTAATATCTACAGTTTAAAATAGTCATTTTGACTGACAGGAGTCTATGGTGTGGATGAACTATGTGAATAGGCGGGTTCGGAGAACCCTCTGCCTAAATCCACTATATGGTCATCTAATTGATGCACACTCTTCCTCTTGCAAACACTCAAATAAAAAAAAGTTCAATATACATGTAATTCCATTAATTTAGTTAATTTTTATTATCAGGAAGATAAATCCATAGTGCATGGAAGCATTTGTGCAAAGAATGTCCTGGTTGCAAGTAAACCGGGTGATAGTCTATTTGTCAAGCTGGCTGATCCAATGTTTGGTACCAAATATTACTCGCTTAAGTCACAAAGTGACGCAAGACTTAGTAGGTATGTATGCATGTATGACATATGGTGTAAGAATTTAATCAGCAATAAGTCTGTAACTAGTTAGTCCCTGTTTCAAGCACAGCCTGAAAGGTGGACTATTAATTCTTATTTCCAGTTTCCGTCTGTGACGTCTCTTACATTTTCTCATTCTGCAGCAGATATTGATGAAACTTGGCAAGTTGATGAACAAGTCTCTGCCGAATATGCACGTAATTTTTTGTTTTCAGATCTGAAAATCCTAAGTGGGTCTTTTTCATGATTTTCATCCAAAACTACAATGTACCTCTCCCAACACCACTGAGATAATAACTGAGCATGCTCAGAATAAATAATTAGCTTAGATTGTAATGCTTGGGTTTTTAGAGATTTCATTTCTTGATTTGCTGGTTTTGAGTTATTGTAGGAAAGAAGTTAATCGTTTTATTTATTTTGTTCATATTGTCATAGATAAAGTTCATATTATATATGAGAGGTTAAATGCCTGTCCTCATTGTTAGTCCCCGTTCAGACGCAGTCTGAAAACGGGGACTCATGTTTTGACCTTCGTGTATGCGTGCGTGTGTGTGTGCGGACCTGTATCTTAGAAATGCCTGGACCAATCACAATCAAACTTCACACATACATCATACATGATATTATACATATGCACGTCAATTTGTTTCACGATCTGGTTCAAGATGGCCGAATGGCGGCCATTTTTTTGCTAAAAATCATCAAAATCAAGCATTTCCCAGCTGTTTACATGGATTTTGTTCAAACATTGTATATACGTTTGACATTTTAGGACCTTGATGCACATCGGCTGTTTACAGATGGATTTTGTTCAAACTTGGTATATACATTAGACATTATGGGACCTTGATGCAAATAATTTTGTTTTTCAGATAAGATTCAAAATGGCCGACTGGCGGCCATTTTGTTTTAATGAATGTGGTTCTCGTGCCATATCTCTGACTTGCTTTCATTGATTATGTTCAAATTTTTAAATATTCATTTTACATCATGTCATAGATAGACAGATGTATTGGTTTGACGATCCTATTCAAAATGGCCAAATGGTGGCCATTTTTGTGCTAAAAAATCATCAAATATCAAGCATTTCTGGCATTTATGGATGGATTTCGTTCAAACTTGGTACATACATTAGACGGGTTCCTGATGCACGTCATTTTATTTTTCAGATTGGATTCAAAATGGCTGACTGACGGCAATTTTGTTTTAATGAATGGGCTTCTAGACCTATATCTCTGACTTGTTTTGACTGATTATGTTCAAATTTGATATATTCGTTATACATCATGTTATACATGTATTCAAAATGGTTGATTTTGAATGCTGTTCCAGAGCAATATCTCTCAATATGGACAAGTACTTGTTTGACGATCAGATACAAATGTCAATGATTTTAATGTTAAAAAATCATATTCCTGACATGGTTATATTCCAGCTATATTACTATAAACAAAACTATATATCTTAAATTTGATAACTAACGGGAACTATGCCATGCATGGCTTGTTATTGTTGACTCTGTTGTAAAACTTTCTCTTATGGTTACAATAACGCAAACAGATTTTATTCAATTTCTTTCAAACTAGGATATGATATTAACCAGTTTGGGATCTTTTCTAAGTTTGAGTAATATTTTTCAAGATATTTGTTAAATTACACTTAAAATTGTCTTTTCTCTTGGTTACAATATATATATAAGGGTAAAATTTGACTGAATTAAAAGAATTTAGACGTAAAAATAAGTGTACAGAATGAAGACAATTATACTGCTGAAAACCTGATATTAGTATTATGCTCTCCAAGATCTGTCAATTACATAATATAGTAAGTTGTATAAATAACAAAAATGACAAGTGCAGTGTTCTCTGTCTTTTTCAAATCTGGCTATTATTTTATTATGCATTATGTAACATTATTTTATAAGGTACATTGAGACTTATACAGTATATGTAGTATTAATTGAGGAACACTGTCTAG